TTTGACCAAACATTTATGTAATAGAAGATTCCTCATTTTTGATGTCTTTAAAAAAAATAAAAAAAAAAAAACAGGCCTAAGAAGTTTATGTTTTGTTCCTTCTTAAATTAACACAGCAAATATTAGACAAGTAAAACATGGCAACTCACATTTAAATGCTCCTATCATGAAAGTAATATTTTACTAATAAAATACTCATTTAAAAATAAGAAATATTTTATTAATAAAAGAACTATATCCACCCTATTTCTTGAGGAGGAAAAAGGAACTTTATTATTTAATATAATATAAAGAGGAGACTTCTACACACACACTCCCAACAAAGCATGGGATTTGAGGCTCGCCCCACCTTGCCTTTATTTCTGTAGTAAGGATAAACTGCACTCATCACACATACTCTTATTTGGATCCCAGTGAGACTGAAGCAGTTAAGAATAGGCAAACACTTTTCCATATACGTCCTTTCTAATTCATATATTTTTTAAAACTCTGTTATTAAAACAGAACAAACAAAAAAGAAAAGACAGCCAGCTTTACCTGTGCCTTTTCTTCAGCAAGTAAAGTTTACCATGCTTGGTGTGCTGGGTGAGACACAGGCTTTCTAAGTAAAGCAAATTGGACTCTCCCAGCACCTTCCTTACGGCTTTGGCCATATTACCACCACATTCTAATGGATCTAATCTCAAAGCCTTGTAAATGAGGGTGGGCAAGAAGCCAGGCCATGCCACCCCATGATCTAAGTCTACCCACCCCCTGCACCAACAACTTCTCCTTTGTCCAGTCCCACTCCCGACAACGCCTTCCTAACTATGACTCCTACAACCCAAATAGGAAGAGAGAATAATGATCAGAGGCAGAGCTAACATTGATGGAGCTAACAGTAAGCAGTGCCTGCCTCCATGCAAACGACAGTCATGACGGACCACCCGGATTAGCCACCTCAACTGCGAAACAGAGCCCTTCTACAACTATTCTGTCACTTTTTCCATTATTTCATACTTATTAAGTATAATATTAATTATCAGATAGATAGGTACTCTGTGCCAGGCCCTGAAGTCTGAAACTACTTCAAAGTCACAATAAACACCATGTGATAATGAAAATGTATTATTTCACGAACAAATTAAAAAGAGGTTCTCCCCTCCCTGTATCCATGTGTTCTCGTTATTCAACACCCGCCTATGAGTGAGAACATTCGGTGTTTGATTTTCTGTTCTGTTGGGTCTGTGGGGGAAATAGGGGAGGGACAGCGGGGGTGGGGGGGGGGAGTTGGGGAGAGACGCCAGATATAGATAAAGGGGAGGAAGGCAGCAAATCACACTGACTTCCATGTTCTTCACATTTACCCCAAAACCTAAAATGCAATAAAAAATAAGTAAATAAAAAGAGGTATTTCAAAAGGTACCCTTGAAAATGTACTCATCGCAATCTAAACATAATCACTCACTTGGGTCAGGCCATAATACTACCTTATGAAAAACAAATTTTACTAATTTTCACATGTAAGCAGAACACTAGTGATCTAAAATACGACACAGCTGAAAATTGTTTTTAACAGTTACTTAACCCAATTAAGGTATTGCAGATGTGCCCAGGTACCTTATTTTGACAAATGAAAAAATTATATACACTTCAGTATTTATAGAATGATATTTCAACTCATCCTAAATGTTTTCACAGCTGCTGATTTTCTGAGAAGTATTCTGTTTAAGTCCAGCCCATTCTTCTCTCCACCATTCCAGACACACACCCAGTATCATCCCTGCTTCACCCGGCATTCCAAGAGATAGGAAGGACTTTGAACACTTTTATGCTGAATGCAGAACTTAGTACTCCAGATCAAACTGTAGAAGTAAATGTAAATGATGGTCCTTCCCCTTCAAGGCCCTCACAACTGAGTAAGAGTTCAAAGAAAAATATACTACACAGTTTAAATATGATAGGTGCTACTGACATTTCAAAAATGGCATGAAGTTGTATGAGGGGGATGGAGGGTTGGGTTGGAGACGGGTAGGATTATTCAAGTTAAGCTCCCTGCTTAAGAGGTGCACACACTCACAATACAAGGAGGATGGAGGGTAGGGCGGAGGTAGCATTCCAAGCCTAGCAAAACGGTACCTACAAGCTAAAAACGTATCTTTGCTTTTTAATTTTGTGATTCTCAAGAGGACACATAGCATTTTCTTTAAAGAATAAGACTGCAAACTACTTTGAGATATTTAGCACTATTTGGGGGTACATTAGAACGTATTCAAATACGAATACAGACACACCCAATTTTAATAGTACCTCTCGAACAATCTCATTTGACCAGGCACTTTCTGTATTTGCCAACAATACGCACACCCCACCTGTAATTAATGCATCTGTGTGGAAGCCCTAGAAAGCGCTCCCGAGTTGGACATCCTTGAGATCAGAATCCCAACTACTAAGTGTGCGACGCTGGCAAATCCCTGTCTCACTGTCCTAATGTGATTACAGCACACATTTATTAATATATTAATTTAAATACTGTTTGTGTCCATGAAGAAGAATGTAAACACCATGAAAGCTGGAGCTATCCTGACCACTACGGCATCCCCACCACTCAGCCCCAGCTCTAGCACTCAGTAGCTGCTAAACGTCGTACAGTACTTGAGTGAATGAATAAGAGTATCACACTACTCCTGAAATCCCAGTCTTTGACAGTGAACTATGACCATTACAATGTGTGTGGCTCAGCAATCTAATATCACTGTAAAAGACCTAATTATCGGATTTCTTTTGAAACTGAGTAAGACAACAATTGGCGTATCTAAAAATAATTAGCCCAAACAACTCTTGAAAATCACTTTAAAATAGTCCATTTAATACTAATGCGTTCCTAAAACGTAAACTCTGAGAAAGAGCAACCATCCAGTTGAGAAATGGAGTCTTCAATACGATTTCTTAAATACAGTCGATTTTATGTCCACCTGATTTCAGCCATTTTTTATACTGTTCCTCAGCATGCAGTAGAAAATCTGCTTTTAAAGCGATCTGATTCGCCACTCCTTAAAGAAACATATATACAATGGACCATCCTCAGAAGGGAAATTGCTTGAGGCTCTCCTATATGAAATCGGTTGCATAAATAGGGCCAGTGAGGCATCAAACACAAGCTTTCAGAAGTCTTTAATAACAACCAATAGGTCCACGTTGCAAAGAACAACTTTTTTCGGTGATGACTCATAAATTATGATCCCTACATATAAGCTCATGAGGCGCTAATGAATCTGTCGCATCATGTAGAAAACTGTGGTCCTTCTGGCCAAGCACAAAACAACAAGTTTTAAACGCGCCCACGTTTTGCTTAATTCGGGACTTCCAGCGAGGATTAGCGCTTTTCCTTTAAAGCCTATTTAAGCGCCCTAAGAAAACAGAATACCATCGCCTTGGCAGGCGGTCCCCGCACACAGACAGACGTAGCTTCACCACATACAGATGTGTCTGGTGGGCCGAAGTAAACAAACGACAGGAAAGCTAACGCTTTTCAAGATTAACGTGCATTCCCGCAGACAAGACTGCCACCTGGACACACGGCTGGAAACGAGAGCTCGTGCCTCTCCGAGGAGAAAATGGAGAGAATTTCAACAGCACTTATTTAAAGTTTCCATCTTTACACACGCCCCTTTCCCCCAGCGCGGGGTCGGGGACTCGGCCCGGCCAGCGGCGCGAGGAAATCTGCACTTGACTTCCGTCCTCTCCCGGGCGGGAAAGAGCGCAGCCCGCCCCGGCAGAGACCCTTCCTTCCTGCCCGCCGACCCCCACCCCGCCCGGGGACAACTCCCTCTCGGCGCGCGGCCAGGAGGAAATGGAGCCCGCGCGGCCTCCGCGCCCCCCTCCCCGGCGACCCTGGCCCAGGGCCGCGCTCCGGCTCCCGCGCGCCCACCCGCTGCCCCGCCACAGGCCAGGCGCGCTTTGGCCCTCGGCCCGGCGCGGACACCAGCAGTTCGGTCGCGGGCCCCCGGAGGCCAGTGCCCGCCCCTCGCGGCGTCCCGCACGGTCGCCCCCTCACCGCCACCCTGGCGCAGCCCCGGCCCGCCAGGCGGCGCCCCCTCCCCGGCCGCCTGGGCCGCTCACCCCCGCGCTCCCCGCAGAAGCGCCGTCCAACCGCCCCCTCCCGGGCCGCCCGCCCGCCCCCGCGCTAGGCCCAGCGGGCGGCCACACGGGGAGAAACGCATCCAGCGCCGTCCACCCGCCCGAGAGGTCCCGGCTTCCCCTGCCGCCCGCCCGCTGCACCTACCATGGTACAGATGGAGGCGAATTTGGAGACTGTCATTAGGATTTCCATCCGCCCAGCGCCATCTTCCACCCAATCACAGCGGCGGCGGCGGGCGGGGGAGGAGGGGAGCCGGGCCGCCCGCTCGCACCGCAGCCGGCGGGCGGACCCCGAGCCGCCGCGGACCCAAGCACCGAGCCCGCTGGGCCGCCGCTGCCGTCGTCGCCGCCGGCGCTCAGGCACTCCCGGCCTCGGGCCCCAGCCCCCCGCCTGCCGGCCGCCGGCCCGCCCCCGGCTCCGCCCCGGCGCAGGGCGCAGCCGCTGCCTCCGGGCCCGCGCCTGCCCGCGAAGCCGCCCGCCGCCCACCCCGCCCAGCGCACAGGGGAGCGGGCTCCGCCGAGGCCCTAATGCCCGGCCTGCCAGGCAGCAGTGCGGCCCGGCGGCGCAGCCCCGCCCATCCCTCGGCGCCCCGGCCCCGCCTACCCCCTCTCCCCCCCGGCCCCGCCCACCCCCTCGGCTCTCCGGCCCCGCCCACCGCTCGGTGGCCTGGGAGCGCGAGCCGGGGAACTCCTGCCCGGCCCCACCCCGCGCGAGGCCGAGGGCGGGACCGAGGGCGGGCACTGTCTCTTGCCCGCGTCCCTGCGGTCCTAGTGCCGGGGGCACGGAGCCCCCTCGTAGGAAGAGGGGCGGCAGGTAGGCGCGGAGGCGGCGGCGGCGGCGACCTGGGAGAACCCGGGAGGGGCCAGACTGCGACACCCACCGCGGGCGAGGCGATGGCGATCCCCCGCGGCCTAAACAGAAAACGGAGGCGATGATCTGGGTAACTTCGTGCGGAGTGGGAGGAAACATGCTCTGCACAGTTAAGATAACCTGGGTATGCGTCCCAAGCACTTGGTTTCTTTTTACGTATATTGGATGAATCACTGGAGTCAAACACAACTTAGAAAAAGACAATGTAATTAAATAAAAATGAAGCGGCAAAGAACAAATTAATTACACGTTTAACTCTTTGAATTAAGAAAGATAAGTAATGGGGGAAGGGGGGAAAACAATGAATCCTGTCGGCCTGTTGGCCATAAATTTAGAATAGGCTTTTAAATATCTGCACATTGTGCAGCAGAATAGAGAAGATCTCAAGCCAGCAGTGATGATATTACCAGAAACAAGAAGCCCGCAAGCAAGAAAAATGCCCTGTGAGAAATCCTTAGGCAGTGCTGGCTACTGGCATGGGTAGTTCCTCTTTATTCCTTTTATAAAATTCATCATTGCACCCAGTTCATCGTGTCTAGCAGCTCAGCTTTATTCTTTCCTATTTGAGAAAGTAGTTCAAGTGAGTGGAATAACTTCATAAATTATGATATTAGAAAGCTCGTGATATTTTTTCTTTTTCTTTTTCTTTTTTTTTTTTTTTTTTTTTTTTGAGACAGAGTCTGTCTCCCAGGATGGAGTGCAATGGCGCGCCTCCGGCTCACCACAACCTCTGCCTCCCAGGTTCAAGCGATTCTCCTGCCTTAGCCTCCCCAGTAGCTGAGATTACAGGCGTGTGGCACCACGTCCGGCTAATTTTTGTATTTTTTTAGTAGACACGGGGTTTCACCATGTTGGTCAGGCTGGTCATGAACTCCTGACCTCGTGATCCGCCTGCCTTAGCCTCCCAAAGTACTGGGATTACAGGCTTGAGCCACCGCGCCCGGCCTGAGATATTTTCTAATGGCTGAAGTTATGGGGTACTTTTCTGGGTTCCCCTAATTCAGTGGGGTTGCGAATCTGAATTCAGACAGCTCTAAAATCGGAAGTGCCTCACCTCACGGGTTCAAAGCAGTCAAAAACAAAAAGCATTCAAACAAAATGTAAGTGAAAAATAGACTTCTGGTACATGAATACTGTTTCCATAGTGATTCCATTATAAGCTTGCTTGTGGGGGGAATGCAGATTGAATATAGCCAAGTCCCATGGTATCCGGCCTGGTTCTCCAGGTGCCTGCTTCCATGGAAGCCAAGAGCCCTGATACCGAAGCCAGGGGCTTCCCTGTCTAGACTTGATAGCATCACCCACCTGAATTCTTTCTTGCTCTTTTCTACCCTGTTTGGACAAGGCTCCTACATCTTAGACCTCTACAGCCCACCTGGGCCTTCTCCCAGTGTCACTATGCCTCTGAACCGTGTCTGTCTGTCCATCCCGATAAATAGCTGTGGTCATCCTGTCCTTCCCACTTGCTGTTCTATTCCAGCAAACAGGTCTGATGTGCCAGAATTTTAGCCCTGCCTCCATCCGCGCTCACCACCCAGATGCCTCCTTGCCCATTAATCCTAACACATCACAGGAACAAAAGCCACCAGCTTTACATATAAGTTTATATAAGAATAAGGCCTCTCTAAAATGAATTTCTAGGCCAGATACGGTGGCTCATACCTGTAATTCCAGCACTTTGGGAGGCCAAGGCAGGTCAGGATCACTTGAGGTCAGGAGTTGGATACTAGCCTGGCCAACATGATGAAATTCCATCTCTACTAAAATACAAAAATTAGCCAGGCACACGCCTGTAATCCCAGCTACTCAGGAGGCTGGGGCACAAGAATAGCTTGGGTCCTGGAGGTGGAGGTGCAGTGAGCTGAGATTGCGCCACTGCATTCCAGCCTAGGTGATGGAGTGAGACTCTCTCTTAAATAAGTAAATAAATAAATAAATAAATAAATTTCTAGGCTGGGCACAGTGGCTTACGCCTATAATCCCAGCACTTTGGGAGGCTGAGGCAGGAGGATTGTTTGAGCTTGAGACCAACTCCCTTGAGGCCAGTGAGTTCAACACCAGTCTGGGCAACATAGTGAGACCTTGTCTCTACTAAAAATAAAAATAAAATAAATCAGTGGTGCATGATGGTGCATACCTATAGACCCAGCTACCTGGGAGGCGAGGTAGGAACATCACTTGAACCCAAGAGCTTGAGGTTGCAGTGAGCCATGATTGAGCCACTGCACTGTAGCCTGCACAACAACCAAAACCCTGTCTCAAAAATATAATAAAATGAGAAAGGCACAGTGGCTCTTGCCTGTAATCCCAGCTCTTTGAGAGGCCAAGGTGGGTGGATTACTTGAGGTCAGGAGTTCAAGATCAGCCTGGCCAACATGGAGAAACCCCATCTCTACTAAAAATTAGCTGGGCATGGTTGAGAGCACTCAGCTACTCAGGAGGCTAAGGCAGAAGAATCAAGTGAACCTGGAAGGAACCAGTGAGCTGAGATCCTGCAACTGCACTCTGGCTTGAGTGATAGAGCAAGACTCCGTCTCAAAAATTAAATTAAATTGGCTAGGCGCAGTGGTTCATGCCTATAATTCCGGCACTTTGGGAGGCCGAGGCAGGTGGATCAGGAGATCAGGAATTCAAGACCAGCCTGGCCAATATGGAGAAACTCCATCTCTGCTAAAAATACAAGAATTAGCTGGGCATGGTGGCAGGTGCCTGTAATCCCAGCTACTCAGGAGGCTGAGGTAAGAGAATCGTTTGAACCTGGGAGGCGGAGGTTGCAGTGAGCTGAGATCACGCCGCTGCACTCCAGCCTGGGTGACCCGGTGAGACTCTGTCTCAAAAAAAAAAAAAAAAAAAAAAAAGTAAATTAAAAAGTAAATAAAATGGATTTCTGATAGAATTATCTAGAGTCATGTCTAGTTGATAATGGAGTCATCTAAATTCACAGATAAAGTCGTGAAACCTAATCACAGAGCCTCACAATGCCTTGTCTCCCTAGCCTATGGTTGATTGAAGGGCCGCAGAGAGGTGTGTGTGTGTGTGTGTGTGTGTGTGTGTGTGTGACAGAGCCTTGCTCTGTTGCCCAGGCTAGGGCATGATCTTGGCTCACTGCAACCTCTGTCTCCAGGTCCTGACCTCATGAGCCGCCTGCCTCAGCCTCTCAAAGTGCTGAGATTACAGGTGTGAGCCACTGTGCCCGGCAAAAGAGAGGTTTTTCTACATGCTAGGTGATGTACTGAGTGTTCTTTACCATATGTAATGCATTGGAGAATAAGTTTGGCTGAAACTCCACACTTTTGCACCCTGAGCTAGGAGAGCGTAATCTAGCTTTAGAACAGGGCTTTACACAGCTGTGTAATCGGCTTCGCAAAGAGCTTCCTGTGCCTAGCAAAAGATGTGTACAACTGACTCCTTTTGGGCCTTCTTGAATCTGTAAACTGCGAAATATACCCAGATGCCTCAGGGACCAGGCAAGTAAATGAATTATGTCCAACCTTAATCCATTTAGTCAGCACAGCATTTTATAATTTTTTCATTTGCATACCTTTACACAATCCTACACTCTCCAGTTCCTTACAGTCGGCCTCAAATTTTCCGTTATTCATTCTGTTCAACAGTTTAACATAAGTCACTTTATATAGTTCTGCCACCTCTCTTCTCTCTGAAGCCATGTGGGTTTATACCGCTGCACATAAATGAGTGAAGCTTTGCTTGTGATGGGTTGGGAAAAAAAGTGGTGGGGAGAGGTCCAAGAAGAGGCGTAAGCATTTCATCTCATCCTCACAACAACCCAACAAAGCAGGTTATGATTATCCCCCATTTTAGATGAGGGAACCAAGGCACAAAGATCATCTTTCCAGGGTTGCACAACTAACTAGTAAGCAGTGGAACCAGGGTTTGAAACTGTCTCCAGGGGCCACACCTGTGTCCTATTACATCAGCTTTGTAAAAGTACTTCATTTTGCTTTTGAACAGGATGAAGCTGAGAGGCACTGACTCCTTTTGGACTTAAATGAAGGTTTTAGCTACAAAATATACTCAAACAGATACTTCTTTGTTTCACTTTCCTCTTATGGAAAATATGGGTAATAATTATGTTGCAAGGATAAAACATGTTTAAAATAGTGCCTGGCACTCAACACAAAGTGGAGAGCTTAGAACGGCCATTCAAAGTCAACATTCTAAAAGTTGGGGTGGGCAAACACAGCCCTCAGGCTGCCAGTTTGCTCCTCCAGATTTAATGGGCCTCCACTATGTGCCAGTCAGCTAATTAATTCTTTATATACGTATTCCAATGTAACCCTTACAGTGACCTTACAGATCCATCATTTCCTGCTTATTTTACACACAAGGGAATATGACATTCATCATTGCACTAGCCAGCACATACAGGGCCAGGATCCACACAGAGGCTCTGACGCTAAAATCTGTGGTCTCTCTGCTTCTCTACCCAACTTCTTAATAGTTGAAGCAATCAACCTTCTTGGTGGAATTCATTAATATCATCCAGCAATCCAGCAGTAGATGTCAATCAAAACAGTAATTTTTTTTTATTGGCTTGAATCAACAAATCAGTGACTTACTTTTCCTATCAAGCCTTTCTTTTCTTTTTTTTTTTTTTTTTTTTTTTTTTGAGATGGAGTCTCATTCTGCCGTGCAGGCTGAAGTGCAGTGGTGCGACCTCATCTCACTGCAACCTCCATCTCCCGAGTTCAGGCCATTCTCCTGCCTCAACCTCCCAAGCAGCTAGGATTACCGGCATGAGCCACTGCACCAGGCTAATTTTGTATTTTTAGTAGAGACAGGGTTTTACCATGTTGGTTAGGCTGGTCTCGAACTTCTGACCTCCAACCAACACAATACATTTCAAGGCTTCTCAAGCACTAACAGATATTCTGCCTGCTTCTCTGAATCTCTTCTTTGGATTGGAGTATCCCATTTTCTTTTCAGCATTTGCTCAACGTTAATCAGAAAGTTCATTAGAAAAAAAAAAAAAAAAAAAAAGCACAAGAAAATGATACATCCCCTGGACTCTGAGAAGCCTCCAACATCAGGGTCTAACTTCCCCATTCCTAACTCTGATTTTCTTTATTTGTGCCCTTAGAGTTTTCCTATGGATACAGTGTC